GGAAGAGAGGGACTGCAAGTTTGCAACAATGCTGCTTATATTAATTTTTTTTCAAGATTATATATATGTTGCATCTTGTATTTTGTTTTGTATATGTAATTTTTAAGTTTATATTGAATCTTATATTACAAAATTTCAGTTCAGTAATTTGTTAAATAATAAATGGAATAATACTGAACTATTGTACTTATATATATACGACATATTATATTAATAAATGTAGTTAAAGAAATATCCTCTCTAAAAAATAATAGAGAAAATTTCTTTAGTTAATAACTTAATATTATATCAAAATGCTATTTTTATAATTCAAACTCTACTCGTAATTGTCTAATATATACTTTGAAAATCCTAATTATTTTCTACGCCGTTTTTTTTTTTTCTTTTATTCTCTTCCCACTCTCTTCTCTTTCTCTGGTGGTGGTCCGGTAATGGGGCGATCGTAGAAGGTGGTGCCGAGGCGGTGCAGGCGGAGGTTGGTGATTGGGGCTTCGAGATTTGATCCGAGTGTTTGGTGCTGGTCCGGCGATGGGGCGATCATAGAAGGTGGCGCCGAGGCGGTGCGGGCGGAGGTTGGCGATTAGGGCTTCGAGTAGAGGCGACGAGGGCTGCAAAATACGCACTCAAGGTAGTTTTGTTTTATTCTACTTATTCGTTATGGATTTTTAATCTAATTTTGCTCCGTATTTTTTGATATGGGTGCCTTTGTTTTGATGGTTTTGAAGGTGGTGGTTATGTTTTGCTTGATTGTTCGGGTTGTGATTTACTTTATTTGTATAAAAAAACCATTAGAATATGGAAGTGGGGTGGTGATGGTGTGGTTTGGCAGCGACATGGTGACGATGAAGAGCAGATTTATGGTTATTTGGTGGATTGTGCGAAAGACGACGCAAAAAGAAAAATTAGCGCAGGCACATGTAGTTTAATCGACTATGTTCAATACTCGATTAAGTCTTATTCAGTGGTCGATCGTTAATCGACTCCAATTTTTTTTTTTTTTTTTTTTTTTTATTGATTCCAGTTATATAAATCGATTATAATGTTTGTATACTTTTTGATTTTGTAAAATATAGTTGATTTTGCCATTTTATTAATTGCAATTTGTTATTTTTAGTAGTCAAACTCTTAATTGATTATGCTTCATTGGCAATTAATATACTTGATAGAGAATAAAAAATAAAAATCGAAAAAGAATAACAAAATAAAAATCGAAAAAAATTTCCTTAATCGGCTATGCTTCCTTAATCCATGGTTATCGAATCGAAAAATATCGGCGTATCGTTTTCCTCCGTGTATCGTATCGTACGATAATTAATCAAGTATAAAAAATAATATATATATCTCAAAAAAAAAATACTATGAAAATGCAAAATTTAATATTTTAAAGTCAAACTACTCATTCCTAATTTCTTAAAAAAAAAAAATCTATCATAAAATAAGACAGAAGTCATAACTGCTCATAAAAATAACATCAATAAAGTTCAAATTTTGATCTCTAATTTGTAAAAAACTAATCTATCACTCATAATCTTCAAGATCAATGTAACTTAAATTCTTTTCATCCACCAATTTCAAACGGGTGTCTTCATCCTCATGTTCATCAACTTCATCAACTCCAACTTTGGTCTTTTCCTATTTTCTCTTATCAATATAAAACTTAGTGTGTAAATTTCTTGGATCTAATATATGTAAAAAAAAACATTAAATAATATTGAAATTCGTTTTCTGGCCATGATAATGTGAATATCTCTTTTTCTTCTTTTTTCTTTTATTTTTTAAATTTTTAATTTTTTTTAATTTTTTTAATATTTTAACTAATATCGTAAATATCGTGTCGTATCGTGATATGGCGATACGATACGATATCTCGCGATATTTAACGGTATTTATGCATAGACGACACATATTATGAGTTGTATCGCTTTGATTGGGACCGTACCGTCTCGCGAGTTTAACTACTATACCTTAATCAATACATAGTTGATTCATAAAACTGATTTAGAAAAAAAAATGGAAAAAAAAAAGGCTGATGACCAGCGCGTGATGCGATGATGACGTGGGTGCGTGATGCAATGATGATGTGGCGGGCGAGGGCAAAATTGAAAAAAAAAATGTTTGAAATGAGTAGATGACTTTTCTCAAATAAAAAAAATATTTTGGGTCATTCCATTAAAAGAAGTAATGGAGGGCTTTTCCAAAGAGCCCCTAAATTAATAGTGACAATATAAAATGCTAGAAAATAAGTTTATTTTGTAATATTAAAATATATAAAAAAATAGCAATATAACAATTTACATTACAAAATCAAATAAAATACTAAAAAAAAAAAAACAAATCAGAATAATAAATTTATCCGGGTAATTGGATTGATTTTCTTTAGTAAATTTACGCATTTAAATATAATATTCGTGAATATATGTGCTATAGTAATGATGCCATGTGTGCATATATGTATATGATTGTGATAAATATAATAGGAATAAACTGAAGTACATATCAAATTCACTTGTGACAAATCAATTGACTAATACACATAAGTAATTAAGTGTCAACTAAGTGATTCGAAAAATGTCATAAGCAATTTAAAGGCATCAAATATTGAAATTTGAAAAGCAATTTTGCTCTTTGATATCTAATTAAATTGTTCTTGAAACTTTAAATTCTATAAAATTCTATGAGGAAAGGACTGGAGTAGTAGTATTAATAGTTCTTAGGCGAATTCCGAAGCTATATTGCTATACTTTAATAAGTTGTGATCAAATTCCAAGGCACAAGAACCTTAAGGTAAGCTTTTATAAGTTCTTGATTCAGCTATTGTTGGTTTTGATTCATCAATGCATATGTGGAATAGTTAAGTTATCGATCTTTACTCGCGCGGTGTCTGAAGAGCAGTCGGTTTCTTCGTAACAAAGCCATGCATGCGAGACCGTCGACTAGGACATTTGTACGTACAACGTACGTAACATCGTCCAATGTCTCTTCTTCAATTTTTAATAATTTTGTTGGGATTTAATTCGTAATTCATTTTCGTCTTCATAAGTGGAATCAAGCTATATATCAAAATGAGTTTAATTTTGTATTAGTATCATTAGTAAAACAAGAAATGAATTAAGGACAAATTATCCGACAATTTTATCCATATATACCTTAACATCGGGGAATACGATGCTACACCCGGTGATTTTCACCGGGTAACTCTCTTGTTGACAAGTGTCATTTTTAATTTATTTTATAATTATTTTTCTAAAACCCAATAGGCCATAATTGAACCCGATAGTGGGAATCTTATCAATTAGGGTGTCTGGTTAAAATCACCGAGTGTAGCATCGATATTGTCCTTAACATCCGTGAGATCTACATTGTTCTCGCGGAGAAACAATACGAAATATTGAAAATTTTCTGGGGTCGGTCGATAATGACCACTGTGAGGCCACACTGCCTGTTAAAAATCCAAATAAATAAATCAAATAAATTTGTGCCCGAAATATATATATATATATATATATATATATATATATATATATATATATATATATATATGTGTGTGTGTGTGGAAGAACGTGCTACATTAATATTTTACTAAATTAATAGAATTTTACTGGTCCCAAATGTATTAATTAATAGAGATTTAACTGTAATATAATTGAAGCAAACTAACTAGGATTTCAAAGTGTAGGAAAAAAGAGATACCTCCAAAACACCTTGTTCAAATACTATTCTTCCGGCAAACCAACCCTTGCTAAGAGTTGATACCTAGCATTTACCAATAGGTTAAAGGTCTAGGGTTCGAGTCTCTTCCTCCCCGACTTCCCCTTGTAATTGATTTGAATTTTTACAAAAAAAAAAATACTATTCTTCCGGCAGCTAATGTAGCTCCACCGGCCAAGAAACTCGAGTGCTGAAACGAGCCTTTCGTTTTCTTACCGGTGCATAAAGTCTTTTCGGTACTCTGCACAAAAATCCACTTCGTTTCTTTATTTGTGTCCAAAAACTCCCATTTTGCTTGTACAAGAGCTTCCTTCTATTACAACTTCAAAACACTCAAATATCCTTACCATAGTTCTCAACTAATTATTTTTCAATTAATTAAAAATGACCAAGGTTAATATATTCATCCTTCAGTTGAGATATTCTCAATTGTTTAGACCCTCTTCAATGGAGGACAAAAATTTAAATTTGCATTTTCAATGGAGAAATTAAATTGGTAGTTATTTTAATATTCAACTTCTAAAAATGCGAAAATGCATCCGGAAAAAAAATATCAAAACATTAACTACCCAACAAACCTATCATAAATTGACATGCGTCAATTTTAAATATATTTATACTTATTTAAAACTTGATAATCCATTTTAATGCTTGCGGTTTGAATAAATAAGTATGAAAATAATAGAACGAGCATCAAATTAATATTTGATGATCCATTTTAATACTTTGACATTGGAGCTGCTCTAATAGCAATTGTTTTTATAATATTCCAATATTACTAATTTAGTTACAAACAATTAACTGTTTTAGTATTTTATATTATAGCGAACTATGAAGATAAGTGTCTATCACATATGCACGATGGATTTGAACTGTAGATTTAATTAATTATCCACTACATACATATAAACATAGATGTATGTGTGATTTTGTATAGCATCTAATTTCCCCTTTAGAAGTGCAAACTGTATCTAAATCATGGTTATCAAATCGGAAAATAATGCGTATCGTTTTCCTACGTGTATTGTATTGTATCGTATCGTAAGATATTTAACCAACTATTAAAATTAATAAAATATATATATATCTACATAATAAAAATACTATAAACATGTAAAATTTAATATAAAATAGGACAAAAGTCATAATTACTCATAAAATTAAATAGCGCCAACAAAGTTCAAATTTGAAT